TTTCAGCATCTGGATGTTGGAACCTGTCCTAGAATGCCAAGCAGCCACAGGGTGCTTTTGCAACTGCTGGCATGGGATGGAGGAATTAGGGAGGGCTCTTTGTGATTTTCCATCCTTATGTGTAGAGATTATGATTTTTTTGTTTTTTTTTCTGTTCCTGTGATTTATACATTTGTTGTTGTTGATCTCTTGGGGGAGAAGTGTGTGTTAGGATCCTAAATCTCTGTTTGGTTAGAGAGAGCTAGGGTTATTCCCTATTGATTCACGGCCATCTTCTTCTGGGTTGGAGTATATTCCTTTTGGACAGTGTCACCCCCCCTCCATGGGTATACTTTTATACTACTGGTAAAAGTATAAGTTGTGTGTGTGTATGTGTGTGTGTGTGAGCATGCACATGCATGCATCCTGGTACTAGGGCTTGAACTCAGGGCTTCACACCTTGTTTGACTTTTTCACTCAAAGCTACAACTTGAGCCACGCCCCCAACCTCTGGCTTTTGGCTGGTTAATTGGAGATAGAACATTGGCTTCAAACCTCAGTACTCAAATTGTAGCCTCTGGATTACATGCATTTTCTCTCTTGGCAAAGAACTTTTGTATTTTCTTCAGACGGGTTTCTGACAACAACTTCCCTTCGTTTCTGTTTGTCTCAGGATGTTCTTATTTCCCCCTTTGTTTTTTAAGGATAATTTTTCTGAATGTAGATTATAGGTTGACAAGTGTTTTCTTTCCACGTCTTGAAGATTTCAATCTATTCTCTTGGTTGCATGGTTTTCAAAAAGAATCCTCACTTAATTTTCATCTATGTTCTTCAATTGTAGTACTGTATTTTTAAAAATTAGTTTCTTGATAGCATTTCTTTTTCTTTAGTTTTCCATAGGTTGAATATGATATGCCTAGGTATAATTTTTTTGTGTGTTTTTCCTGATTGGTTTTTTGAACTTTCTGTGGTTCTATTTGTCTCATTTTTAGAAAACTCTCAGCCTTTATTCCTTAAATACTTTGCTGCTCTTTGTGCTTGTCCTCTTTTTCCTGGTATTCTCAGTATGTGTATGTTACTCCTTTTGTAGTTTCTCAGGGGTCTCACATATTCTGCTCTGTTTTGTTTGTTCTTTTGCTTTTTTTGCATTTCAGTTGTGGGAGTTTTGGCTTTGACATTTCTTGTTTTTTGTTTTTTTTGGTTAGTTGTGGGCCCTGAACTCTGGGACTGGACGCTGTCCCTGCGCTCTTCAGCTCAAGGTTGGCACTCTACCACTTGAGCCACAGTGCCACTTCTGGCTTTTTCTGCTTATGTGGTGCTGAGGCATCGAACCCAGGGCCTCATGCATGCAAGGCAAGCACTCTACCACTGAGCCACCTTCCCAGCCCTGGCTTTGACATTTCTTTAAGCTCATGGATTCTTCTACTGGCCTTGCCTGGTAAATTGATAAACACTCTGCTTTTCTTACAAGGCTTTCCATTTCTAGTAATTCCTTTTATTCTTTCTTACATTGTAAGCATATATACTTCCATTACCAATCTATTATTGTATATTGTCTATTTTTTCCCAGTTAGGGACCTCGGCATAGTGATCATGGCCATTTTAATTTCCTTATCTGGTAATTTTGAAGTACATCTGGTTCTGATGCTTTCTTTGTTACTTGAGACTGTTTCTTCTTGCCTTTTACTATATCTCATTTATTTTTTTAACATGAAATCTTGAACTAAGATAACTAGATCAATACTGTGGAGGTTCATGTTTTCTGACTAAAATTTAGGCAATGTTTATTATTTACTATAATTATAGAGCTCCAAATCTTCAATTTTCCTCAGTGTCTTTGATTTTGTCTTCTCTGTGGTCTTTGGGCTCCTCTAGAAATTCTTTATTAAATGGAGCCCGAACCTGCAGTTCTTTCCATTGTAATCCTCTATTACACTGGGGCTGTGTGGATGTGGTGGTGTAAGGTGTTTGTATGAGGAAAAGTGTCTACTTTCCCATGATTACATCCCATCTTTGTGAATCTTTGTCCCTACATAGTCACCTCTATAACTTTTTCACAGCATCTCTCTCATCCTTCATTCTAGCTTAAGTGAGAAGAGGGACTGAGGTTAATAAATTTCCATTCCCAGGATTAGATTAGACTTTGATAAAAATACTTTTCATTGATAGCTGACCTTCATTATAGGAAACTGAACAAAGATACTCTCTGGAGTATTTAACAAATAATTACTTCTTATTTCTCCTCCTAGAAGCAAGAGAGAAGATTTTTTTTCTTTCTGATCTTCATAGAGAACATAGTAGGGCTCCTGGCCTAAGATTTGCCCCTTCACAGGTTTTAGCTCACAAGCTTGTCTGCACCTAGCATTTTATCATTCAGACATTAATATATCTTGCCAAGACTGGACCCAGAAGCAGCTTCTGCTTTTCGGCTTCTGTCTCATTGAGCTGTGATTCTTTTTTTTTTTTTTGAAGATCAATTGGTTTTGTTTTAACATTTGCAGACACAATGCATCTTGATCTGAGTCACCTCTCCTGTAATTCTCTGTGTCCTACCCTCATTCAGTTTTCAGGGCAACATTTTGCCCTGTGACCTTGATTCTCTGGTGGGAATCAGAGAGATGTTCTTTTTTTGTGTAGGCATTTTTATTTAAGGAAATAATTTACCTTGATAAATACAAGAGATGTTTATGTATTCTCAAATTTGTAAGTAGCTAAAATAAGCATCCATTATTTTTTATTCAACAATATAATGTTACCAAAATTTAAAAATAAGTAGCTGCCGCACAATCTAGCTCTGTAGAGAGATGTTCTTCTTTTTTTTTTTTTGGGGGGGGGGGGGTCCGGTCGTGGGGCCTGAACTCTGGGCCTGGGCGCTGTCCCTCAGCTCTTCAGCTCAAGGCTAGCACTCTACCACTTGAGCCACAGTGCCACTTCCGGCTTTTTTTCTTTTTGCTTATGTGGTGCTGAGGAATCGAACCCAGGCCCTCAGGCATGCAAGGCAAGCGCTCTACCACTGAGCCACCTTCCCAGCCCGAGAGATGTTCTTTTAGTTTGTTTTTATTATTTTATTATTATTATTATCATTATAATTATTATTACAGGAGTGTCAACATTTAAGCTCATGATATTGTTAGGTAAAATCTCAGATGTGAATCCAGTCATGAGGAAACAGAAGCCACCTTTGGGGAGGTCGAATTGCAAGTCTTTATTGGAAGGTCAAGGTCTACATAGTAGATTATTTTCTCAAAGACCAGCAACCCAGAACAGAGTTTACACAAAGCTTTTAAAAGCAAAAACCACATGCATGGGCAAGAGGCACTCAAGCCCAACAAAAGCAGAGCTTATATGGACAGACTCAGGTAAAATCTCAGGTAGCAGCAGCAGAACTTTTCCATCTAGGGATTATACTGCCTCAACCTTCCATATAGGGGAAATCTTAGAGGCTACTCAGAGGTGGGTGATTTAAGCCTTTTAGGGTGGTTATCAAGGCAGAATCACAGCATTCTCTATGGGAAGCTTTCCTAAGGTTATAACATCTGCATTTCTCTGAAGCAGAATTCTCCTAGCTCACCTTGAGGTAGGTATCTGCAATTCAGTGAAGGGCCTCTTTCACTTCCAGGCTTTTCAGTACTGGGTGGAAAGTTCCCTCCACCCAGCAAGAGGCATCAGGATGGCTGTAAGAAGTTACTTAGACTCAGCCTCCTCACTTCAGTTGCATGTTGGGATAAACCAGAAGTGTACAAATTTCTTTTTAATTATGATTTTACAAGCTGGGAACTAGTGGCTCATGCCTGTAATCTTAGCATCCTCAGATCTGAAGATGCCACTTCGAATCCAGCCCAGGCTCATGGTCTGAAACTAGCCCAGGAAGACAAAACCAAGAGACTTTTTCTCCAATTAACCAGCAAAAAAATCAAAGTGGAGCTATTAACTAGTGGTAGAGTGCCATACTGATGCTAAAAAGTTAAATGAGAGTGTGAGGCCCTCAGTTTTAAGTCCCAGTTCTGACACACACACACACACACACACACGCACACGCGCACACACACACATACAAAAATAATGATTTTGCCAAGGTTGGTACCATAGTAGAATCGAGGTATTGAGTCATAGTGGTGGCTGAATTTGATTTATCTTAATATGTTGGCTATGTTAAAGAAAATGAACCCATTTTTAAGTTAAAACTTCTAGGATGTGACACAATGCACATACACTTATTTTTGTAAACTCACTTTGTTTTTACATTTCTCTCCCATGGAACTGTTCAGTACTTGGTAGGTGAAATCTTTCATAATCTTTGATCTTTAAATCTTTATTATTAAAATAGTAAAATGTAAACAATAAAAATATTGCATTCTTAGGGGCCACCTTTTGAAACATATATGCATATATGTAAAAATGTCTGTATTGTAGCAAAAATGTAAAAAATATAAGTATTATATTCTTAGGGTCCAGTGTGTGTGTGTGTGTGTGTGTGTGTGTGTGTGTGTGTGTGTGTGTGTGTGTATCACTTGAGCCATAGCATCACTTTGGGCTTTTTAGTGGCTAGTTGGAAATAAGTCTCACAGATTTCTCTGCCTTGGCTGGCTTTGAACTGAAATTGCAGCTTCCTGAATAGCTAGGATTACAGTGTGAGCTGCCATACTTGCCTTGAATATATTTAATATTGGTTATCCTGTAATTTGATTTTATTAAACAAAACACAACACTATAGGTTTTCTTCTACCAAGAAAGACTTACTGGTCTCTCAATATTATATTATAATCTATACTGAGCCAGAGATAAAACTTTTCATTTATATTATTATGGTCTTTATCAGGCTTGGAAGTTCTTCCACTTCATTCCACAAGTACAGTTTTACCATGGTTAAAAATGCTAAAGATTGTTCTCACTTATTTTAATCACCAACAGAATATTTCCTGGAGAATGTCATTTTCACTGGGGAGCATTGTTTCAAAAATCACAAATTGAGAAGCTTTTTAGATAACAAATTTGATTTTAATTTCTCTTGTTTTATTTAGTTTGGTTCCAAATGTTCTCGACCAGAAATCATTTACTTTCCCTCTGGAATCTGGGAGTAAACTTTGGCGACCCCATGCCTGGCACACTAACAGGCTATTGCCACATATCCCTCCAAAATCAAAGGTAGGAGCCCATGGAGACAGAAGGAAGTTGATGATTATGAGGTGCAGGAGGAGGGGAGACCAGGGAGTTGGCTTCCAGTTGGTATGAAGTTTCTTTTGGGAGATAATGAACATGTTCCAGAATTGCATTGTAGAAATGTTTACACAACTCTATGGATATCCTGCATACCTCCTCATTGTATATTTCAAAAAGATTAAATTTATAATTGTATCTCGATACAATTATAAAAACACTTTTTTTGGGGAGGAGGGTTCCGGTTGTGGGACCTGAACTCTGGGCCTGGGCGCTGTCCCTCAGCTCTTCAGCTCAAGGCTAGCGCTCCACCACTTGAGCCACAGCACCACTTCCGGCTTCTTTTTGCTTATGTGGTGCTGAGGAATCGAACCCAGGGCCTCAGGCATGCAAGGCAAGCGCTCTACCACTGAGCCAACTTCCCAGCCCCTTATAAAAACATTTTTAAAGAGTCCAAGTCGGGTGTTGGCTTTGTGTTCAAAATTGGAAAATAGGATGAATATATAGATCTGATCCTACAATTTATTACTGTTATTTCAGATCTATTCATGGTATAGTTTCTACAGAGAGAGAGAACTTTCAAAAGCGAAACAAATAAAAATATAAAACATTTAACTTTGTGAACAGAGAAACGGCTTTCTGACTTTGCATCCATTGGGTATTCTGACAACTTGCTTCCTGTCCTTCCTTGTCTTAGCTTAACCATTCTTAACAGAAGACCATGGGCTACCCAGACAAGACAACAGAAACCTATTTCTCAGAGTTCTAGAGGCTACAATTCCAAGATCAAGATGCTGACAAGATCTGGTATCCCCTGAAAGCACACATTCTAGTTTGGCTCTAATCCCAGTCATGAGAGCTCCACCCTCACAACCAAGTCACCTCCCAAAGGCCCTGTCCTGATGCTACCACACTGGGATTTAAGATTCCAACATTTCAGCAAGCTGTGGTGGTTACCCATCTGCAATCCCAGCCCTTGGGAGGCTGAGTCAGGAGGATCTCAAGAATGTATTTTGGTGAGGGCAGAGTATGAACACAAACATTCAGTTCATATAATTCCCTAACTCCTCCCAAAGTAATTCACTTATTTTGGGTACCAGATATTGTTGTCAGTGCTTTGGAAATCTCAACTAGTTTAACCTTGAGAATAATCTTAGGAGATATTATTATTAATGTCTTCAATTCAGCCCACTTTTAAGAAGAAAAGAGGATACTACTAATAATTATTTCCTTTAGAACCACAGAAACTTAACTTCCCGTAGCTACCAAAACTTTCATTCATTTACAAGTTATTCAATTATTCAGCAAATCAAATTACCTACTGGCCTCCAGCACTGTCCTAAGCATTAGAAAACTTATTCTCAGAATATCTTGAGGGAGACAGACAAACAGATGATTTCTTGGGTCATCAGAGACCGAGAGAAGCAGTCCACTTGTGATTAAAGGCCACAAGGTCTTAATTAATTTGGAGACTACAAGAGAGCAAGAGGATCCGTGATTACCCAGTGATTCAACCTAGGCCCTGAGTGATTGTGACACCATTCTCTGAGATGGGGATACAGGAGAAGGAGATGTAACAGTTCAGTGTTGGGTCTGAGGTAGCTGTGGAGCCTCCAAGAAATGACAAGTGGTAGCTGTGTGTACCCATAGACTGTGTGAGGATCAGAAGAAATTGTCTGAGAATGACTCTACATTTTTCTGGGGTGACATTTAGGGACTCAAGGCAGAGAACATAAGAACCCTCAAAGAGCGAGAGAGAAAGAGAGAGAGAGAGAGAGAGAGAGAGAGGCAGACCAAATTGAAGTGGCTAAATTGCTGCCTTGGAATCTTCACAAATTATAGTCAAACTCAGTTAATAAAAGGTTTTAGGTTAAAAGTGCATTAAATGAGCCAGCTTCCAGTGACTTACACCTGAAGACTAGCCACTCAGAGGGCTGAGCTCCAGAAGAACAAAATTTGAAATCAGCCTCCTAAAGGACCAGCAAAAATCAGGGCTGGAGGAAGGTTCAGGTAGTAGAGCATGAGCACCAGCCATGATCAAGAGAGCTGAGTGAGGGGATGAGGCACTGAGTTCAAGCCACAGTGTTGGCAAAATATTTTAAATGCAATGTATGCAAGATATTTCATATCACAAAATTTGAGTCTGAACTTTGATGCTTCTTACAATTCACTTGTGCCTGTTTGACCTTATTCCAGGCATCATCTAGCAAACCCTACTACAACTCTGATATGTGAGGTTCAAGTTTTTGGTCTCTTGATTTCTAAAAGAATTCTGTGACAGGGCTGGGAAGGTGGCTCAGTGGTAGAGCGCTTGCCTTGCATGCATAAGGCCCTGGGTTCGATTCCTCAGCACCACATAAGCCGAAAAAAAAAAAAGCTGGAAGTGGCACTGTGGCTCAAGTGGTAGAGCATTATCCTTGAGCTGAAGAGCTGAGGGACAGTGCCCAGGCCCAGAGTTCAGGCTCTCTACCGGACCCAAAAAAAAAAAAAAAATACACAAAAGAATTCTGTGACAGAAGGAAATAAATAATGGTGTTTCTTTTCATTGCCTTAATTGGTTGAGCTCATAATTTCATATTTTCCTTTTTTTTTGGTCAGTTGTCAGGCCTGAACTCTGGGCCTGGGCGCTGTCTCTCAGCTCTTCAGCTCAAGGTTAGCACTCTACCACTTGAGCCACAGCATCACTTTTGGCTTTTTCTGCTTTTGTGGTGCTGAGGAATGGAACCCAGGGCCTCATGCATGCAAGGCAAGCACTCTACACTGAGCTACCTTCCCAGTTCCTCATATTTTCCTTAATAGATGAGTTTCCCTGGAGTTAAATACTTCTTAAAATCAGCAGAAAACTTCTGTCAGGGAATTGCTCAGTACCTGATTGGTCGCATGAGTTACTGGTGCCAGCTCTCTGTGGTTTGAAAAACCTCAGAATCTATTCTACACATTTTGTTTAGCTGGTTTGTGACAGTTTCTGCTGCTTCTACAATAGCTTTTTGTCTTATGGCTGTATCCAAATGTAATCTGTGTGTGTGTGTGTGTGTGTGTGAGAGAGAGAGAGAGCATATGTCAATACTGGGACTTAAACTCAAGACTGGGCACTGTCCTTTCACTTTTCCACAAGGCTATTGTTCTGCCATTTGAACCACAGCTTCCCTTTTGGCTTTTGATGGTTAATTGGAAATTAGAGTCTCATGGACTTTCCTGCCCAGGTTAACTTTGAACCATGATCTCACAGTTCAGCCTTCTGAGTAGCTAGGATTATAGGTGTTAGCCACCAGTGCCTGGCTAAAATATAATCTTTTAAAAGGCATTAAAAAGATTAGAGGTCCTAGGTTAGTTTAAAATTTAAGCTAATTTATACTACTAGAGCACTAAACCTACTTGTCATGATAGCATGATTTTAATTTATTTGTAGTACAAGGAATTGAAATCCAAGGCCTGATCATATTAAGGCAAGTTACTGCCTCAGCCTTTTTGTGTTTGTTTTTTTTTTACTTTATTTTTGAGACAGTGTCTTGCTCCCTTTGTGCCTCCAACTGAAGATCCTCCTCCTCTGCCTCCCAAGTAACTGGAAACATAGGCATTGTACCACCACACCAGCCTACAGAGTCCTCATGTGTGGTTGAATTCTTACCTGCATAATATCACAGTTCACTTTTGTGACAGAAACATGCAACTTTCTTCTGACATGTAGGATATGGCAGGAAGATTTCAGAAATATTAAAGCTTGAATATACATGTTATCTTTGAATAGAAGAAATACAGCAAATATCAACACTGCTGTAGTAGATGCACCAAGGTGAAATCTCTGAGGCCCAATGGGAAGAATCTTCCACTTCAGACATTTAGATGCAGTTGAGAAAGTTATTTTCAAAATTTTATCAGAACTAAAAGGTGAAGATTTTTAGCATTCCATGGAACAATGTGATGAAAGGTAAAAGATGAAAAAAGAGTAGGTAAGAATTTTTTCAAAGATTTTCTTGCAAGTTTTTGACAGTACTTGGGTTTGAACTTCAAGCCTTGTGTGATTGCTTGGCTTGCTTGCTCATTTGCACAGTTGGCTCTCTATCAGTTGAGCCATACCTCTAGCCTGGCTTTATCCTGGTTATTTTAGTTAATTTTTCTCTCCTTTCTCCCTGGCTTTTTGGTGGTACTGGGATTTGAACTCAGGGCCTCCTGTTTACTAGGCTTTAACACTTGAGATGTTTTCACTTGAGTCATGCCTCTAGTTCTTGCTTTGGTATTTTGCAGATAGGGTCTCTGTCTCTGTATCTCTCTCTCTTTGCCTAGGCCTAAGCTCACATCACGATCTTCTTACTTACACCCTGTCTTCCACATAGCTGGAATTACAAAAATGTACCACTATTCCTAGCTTATTGACTGAGGTAGAGTCTCACTAAATTTTTGCCTGGATTGGCCTCAGATAGTGATTGCCTCTATCTCTGCTTCATTAGTATCTGGGATTATAGGTAGGAGCCATTATGTCCAGGTCCCATAGATTTTTAAAAAATTTACATATAGATTTTATTATTTTTAAGTAGCTGTACAAAGGATTTTTAATTCAACATGTCTTCATCAATGCTTCCATAGCTCTGTGTGTGTGTGTGTGTGTGTGTGTGTGTGTGTGTGTGTGTGTGTGTGTGTGTGTGTGTGTGTGTGTGTGTTTGTACTGGTCCTAGGGTTTGAACTCAGGGTCTGGGTGCTGTCCCTTAGAGTTTTTGCTCAAGGCTAATAATATACCATTTGAGCCACAACTCTTCTTCCAGCTTTTTTGCGATTAACTCATAGATGTTGCTTCTCAGTCTGGCTTTGAACCACAATGTTCAGATCTCAGCCTTCTGAGCATCTAGGATTATAGGCCTGAGTCACTGACACCTGGCTCTCCCATAGTTTAAAAAAACAAAAAAGCAAAACCCACACCTTTTTATTATGAAAATATTCAAACATCCTTCTAGCCAGGCACAGTGGCACCACCTGTAGTTCCAGCTGAAACT